AATTAGCCCTGGTGTGACTGTGTGCATGTCTATGTCACTGTGGGGACCCTGCAAAGGAGTGGTATCTCATCCAGTATGTATCCTGCCTAGTGCCCTTTGCTTGCTGGGACAGGCTCTAGCTCTCCTGTGACCCTGAATTAGATGAAGTGGTTAGAAAATGGATGGATAGATGATCTTCACGTTACCACCGTGTTCCTGCAGTTATCTATTACTGTAGCCTAACCTTGTGGCATAGCCCTCTACAGAAAAGACCTTAATGCTTTTTCAAGGTTTATTTTTGCATAAATGTGTTTGAGATCTTACAACAATCCATATTTGAGCAAATGGTGATTGTTTTGTTTTGCACTGATGCACAGCTTGAAATACAGTACTGTGTTCTCTAGGGGACACTCATTTAAACAGCAAGACATTTAGAGAGAAATGTAGCAATTGCAAACTGTTAATCAGATTGATTTCCAGGTCTTAATCTTTAAGTATTTTATATACTGTACTTGAGGTAAAAGAGGCAATCATTATTTTCACTGTTTCAAACATAAATGCATTCTTGTTTTTGCAGAGTCATTAGTTTTATGAGCTTAAATATTTTATTAGATGATTACAAAAACTGAATAAACTATTGTTCTATCTCTATGGAACATTTGAGAACTGAAATTGTCACATGATCTGTGTTAAATTCTTATGAAATGCTGGGTTTTAAACCTGAAAATAAAATTAGTATAAAAAAGGAGAAATCTGAAAGAATTTTAGAACTACCCAAACAATAGTGGGTCTAATGCACATGGAATGTATCTGCACTTACTTCATTTAATTTAATTTTTTTAAATTTAATTTTAAATTTACCAAAAAATAAATACAAAATTAAAATAAAAATTATATGAAAATGAAATTAATTAAAAATACTGCATTTTTTTTAATTGTATTCGCTTTCTAGAAGCAAATATTGACATTACAGTTTCAGGGCTCCATATACATTAATTTGTTCTTGGAAATGTTAAACGCACAAATACACCAGAGCTTCAACAAGCCCTCGATTCTCTCTAGTGATCATCTCAGTTAAAGAGAGGCTACAAAAACATCAGTAAAATTAATACAAGACACTTCATACTCAACTTCTCCGCTAAATTGCATTCTATTATCCAGCCTTTCCAGTGCTCACTGCATTCTGACCTGTTTTGTCATCATGATTATTTGTTTTTTTGACTGTTGGGGAATAATTGCAAGACCACATTTTCAAAATGTTTAATTTGTTCTGCATTTAGGAGGGCTTTCTTCCTAATGCAGCATCATGATTCAGCTCTTGACACAAAGCCAGCAAACATTTTATTTTTGTGCTGACCCTTACAAAAGTCCACCACAGTAAAGATGATTTCACTTTTTTATCATGCATTTGTTTTACCGTACATTTCATTCGCCGTTCTTTCTCGTGTTTTTATAGTTAAATTGGTCTCCCTATGCTCCACCAGGAAAGGTTTGTGAAGGGGGAACACATCTACTGTGATGTTTTTTTTTAAATGAATGGTGTGAATGTTTTTAAAAACAATGACTATTTTGCAGAGGTAAATACATGTTGAGAAGTGTGCCTGTGATTATAACTGACCATTGCCATGATGTGTGTGAAGGCAATCTTAAAACAGAGCAGAAAAAAGAACCCTCAGAAGTCTTCTTTCTGAGCAGTAGAGCTGTTCCTCAATTTCAGGTACCACACTTTACTGTCTTTTCAGGGTGAGCACTTTCTTAAAATATTTTACCAAGATGTAATAACAGAAAATACGTTGTCTGTTCTACGGTAAACAGCATTCACACCAGATATTTCCTTAGAATTGTTCATGAACCCTGATGTATCAGTGAAGGTGGCACTGCTTCCCTGGAAAACAACACAAAACCACAGAGAAGACAGAGAATGAAAGAAGATAAGAGAGGATGGGAGAACAGAAGGGTGTATACAAGCACAGGGCTTTAGAAGAGAAACTGCGATGATTGCCAGAGCCCTGGGGTCTTGCCAAGACAAACCTTGCTCCCCACAAACCCTTCTCAAATCTGGGATGCTTGTCTGCCAGAAAGGGGGACACACTGGCGCCATGGTGATTTCTAAGACTGCTTATCTCAGAGTGATAATGCTGTCAAAATAACTGCCAAGATACATAGTGGAAGGGAATTGGTTAAAACTCCTGTCATCCCAATCTATACTTTCAAAGACTCATAGGCTTATATTCACAAAACATTCATGACAGGTTTACATGAACGTTTCTGTTGCAAAGGGAACAGAGTGCTTTTGTCACAAAACAATTCACAAAAGCTCCAGGGGTTGAACTAAAGGATCCTGCATCTACCTTGACCTGCTTCTCTATTATTCCCCCAGAGCGAACCTTCCTTTCCTTATACATCTACCGGTCTTGTATTTTTGATCATCTTCTACAGTAGGAACCAACCATTGTACAAGAAAAAAAAAAAACAAATGATCTCTGGTGCTTGTTTCATTTTCTTTTTGTCATTTCATGGCATAACATCACTTCCTAGGTTAGTATTGTTAGTATTAACTAATTACACAAAGAAGATCGCTTCAACTTAGAGATCAAACAAATTTACCATATTTTTAAAACCGTATATAGCAACACAGAAGCACACAGATACTGTATGTGGGAAAGTTTCCACCCTGAAAACAAGCTTGAAACTACCCGCAGTTTAAAAGGGTAATGATTAAGTCACAGAAAGGGGGTCCTGCTGTCTCTCTTATTTAATTACCAATGACTTGCCACTAAAACTGACATACTGTATTCTACTTGTCAGATTTCTTGTTAAATCCTGTAGCTAAATTGGCTAACTTCATGTTTTAGATAGATACTTTATTGATCCCGTGAGGAAAATTGCCACATGTATGTACATAGCCATAAGTGAGAATTATATTAGACTGTATATAAGGGTAAATATTATGTATATGATGTGAACTCAGAATAGTTGATTATTTTCTTATTTTGATTTATTATTATTATTATTATTAATTTCTATTCATTGTTGTAATGTTTATAGTTACAATGTATGATCCTCATCACATGATTACATGATACTCATAGCATTGAAATTTAATTTTCTGATACTTTACCACAGTTTTCAGAGAAATCAATCAGGGGTTGTCTGCTTCTGTAATTCCTCCTTTCATGTTTCCTTCCAATTTTATCAGAAAATATTTTAATAACCCCCAATAAAACAGACCGTGGAAGGCATATAACACAAACCTTTATTGTTAGAAGACTCATAATGATTTTATAGTTCTGTTTTTAAAATTTGTTTTTAAAGCGATAAGTAACTTCTGAATATGATGGAAGGGAATTATTGTTTCTGAAAAGGAGATTGTTGCGACATATAAATCAGTCAGCTGTCACTAAGCCATATCCAATTCTGAACTCTTTCACCTTTTTAACAAATTTGTTAAATGGAAAGGAAAAGCGTATTGGCAGTATGAACGGTGCCTTTGTATTAATTAATATTAGTATTTCGAATATAACTGTAACATTTTTATTCGTCCATCTGTATTTTATACTCTTTTGTAAGCTAGGAAAAACTGCATTAAAGTTTAACAGCATTGACTCAAGTTAGTAATTAATGCTTTGAAACATAAACAGTTTTCCTTTGTTTTGAAGAGAAGGGTACAGATAAGAAAAAAATGCCTTTTGGACCCCTTGAGCCTCCACGCGTACAGTACATCGGGCTTTTGCTCAAATCCTGGAATTTGGAAGCGCCAGTTTTCCACAGGGAACATTAGCGCCATCTGTGGTTAAAGGGGTTAAACGAAATGGTCCTATCTTTTTTAATGCGAGCTTGCCCCCTTCCGAAATATTCTGAAAGTGCCCCTTTCTTTCCAAAAGAATCCTTCACCAGATCTGAATGCACTGGGGTCTCCATGCCTGGTTCCCGAGAGCCTTGGCCCAGCAGGTTTTCTTAGCAACCATTTCATCATTCGTTTCTAGAGACTTGCAACAATTTAACCGTGGGGAAAAAAAGGAGACTATAATCCTCCAGGACTAGGACTCCCGTCAACCTGAACATGGGCAGGACACAACCTACTGTATGAATGGCACAAGGAAGGTGCAGCAGTCTACTGCACAACCCAGGACTCAAGACCTATTATTAATGGCACAATACTTTGAGGGCATGCTCTTGCAGTTTACCTTGAAGTGAAAGAAATTCCACATGCTAAACATTTAGCTTTTGACTACATGAAACGCACTTACGCACAGCTGTCCAGTGTCGAAGGGTTGTGGAAAACCTAGTTTTCCTAAATAAATGAGGAAAAACTCCCAAGACAGATGCCCCTGTTTTCAGAAGTACCAACCGCATAAATGTGCGACTTTTATAAGGAGCTATAGCTTGGTTAATGGAGCTCACTGCTATTTGCATTAAAAACGATTCTGCTTTCCGTGGATATTACGTGGGACGATAAAACAAAAACAAACAAACAAACAAACAATCAATCAAACAAATAATTGCAGAATGAATACATCTAAACCAGACATCGGATAAAAGAAAGCAAATCTTTGTTTATAGGCAAATAAAGGAAAAGGTAATCTATCGCTTTAAGTCCAGATATGTGACGTCACATTCCCGGTTGACTTGGAGGGAGAAGACCGCGGAGGCACTGTACTGCCGAGAATGGGCATCCCCCCCAAACAATTATTGTAAAAGCTTTGCGTTTGTAGTGCAGTAAATCAAAGACGAGACTTTAGTTCGAATGATGGCGCCGACAGAGCGGACAGGTTGTGTAGCCGCATGGTCCCAGGTGATCCTTTTCAGCGTGTCGGCAGTCGTTATCCTTGCGGAGCGAACCGCGCGTAAGTCTCATTCTCCTTGCAGTAAAAATGAATGCAGAGAAATAACTCGCTGACTTCGGTGTGACTTGCGGTAGAGCTTTCCGGGGACACGCAGTGAGAGAACTGCAGACTTTCCGGGATCGATGCAATGAAATTAGCGGCCATTCTTCTAATAGAATAAAAAGTAGCCCCTTTATTTTTATTTTTTTCCGGGGGAGGGAGAGGAGAGGAAGAGGGGGAAGGGGCGTGTAGTGTGTTTGTGCACCCCCCCAGAAATAGAGCAAAAGCCAGAACTATTCTGATCCGTTTAATTTCCTTCTCTATAATTAGTGCTTAGATTGCGCGCCTTTTCAAAATAATATTCAGGAATGAATGAAGGATTGCCAAGTTCCTCCTTGCAAACGGGGCTTTCCGGAGAACAGACGGTTGAACAGTTACCCTTCTCTGTTATGAGACGAGCTTCATTAGGCTGTTCTGACCGTTGTACACATAACGTGCTTAATGTACAGCAATGCTCGCCTTATTTGTTTCTGTCATTTTATGTCAGATAGTTTCTAATATGTGTACACGCTTGTGACAGTGCAACACTGCATTACATTAATGTGGCATCAGTTATAATAAAACAACAGTACGGGAACTTGTAAAGAATTGAAAGACTGTCTTTTGAAGCTTGAACGATGACAAGTTATGGATCGCGTGTAAAAATGTCTTATTGACTGCGAGATGGTATCTACAATCAGAACAGCCAAGTTATAACAAAAATATACAGTATACAATAACACATTAGATACAATTTGTTTGAATTGGTCAAAAAGAACAACAGTTCTATTTTTAAGAGTGCTATGTGGGTGTGCTTTTGAAGGGAAGCAGAGCTGTGAAATAATGTATTTTAGGGGAAAGTCATATTTTCAGCAGCTGTTGATCCAAGCTAGTCAGTTGTTTGGTTTTGGTAATCTTTAGCTGGGCTTACTTTCCAAAATGTATAAGGTATGAAAAAAAACTATGTATTTGACATATTTAATTATAAAACAACAATGACAGAGGAGGTCTAATGTTAACAGCTTTCACTGCCTTAAGACGTGCAGTAAAAATAACATCTGATAGTCTTATGCCCCAGCCCCGCTGTATCATGCTTTGTTGTGCTTGTTTGAACAGTGATCTTCAGCCTCGTGCACTACCTCCTGATGGGCCAGATGTGGTGGGCGGGGCTGACCCTGGGCCTCACCTTGCCGGGTGCTGGTGTTCAGGTGCTGAGCTTCCTGTGGTACCGGGCTGATGGGGCCAGGGGCTGGCCTCTCCTCTTGGTGCACTTTCTGCAGTTGGGGCTCTACAGAAGGTGAGCAGACCCTCCATACTTGTGTGTGGGAACGCATCTTGTCCTTTGCCAAGCAGCTGGGCAACATGGGATGATGATAATAATAATAATAATAATAATAGCTTACCTTACATTGCGCTTTTCTGGACACTCCACTCAAAGTGCTTTACAGGTAATGGGGACTCCCCTCCCCCACCACCAATGTGCAGCACCACCTGGATGATGTGACGGCAGCCATAGTGCGCCAGAACGCTCACCACACATCAGCTATCAGTGGGGACAAGAACAGTGTAATGAGGCCAATTCATAGAGGGGGATTATTAGGAGGCCGTGATTGGTAAGGACCAATGGGAAATTTGGCCAGGATGCCGGGGATACACCCTTACTCTTTTCGAGAAACACCCTGGGATTTTTAATGACCACAGAGAGTCAAGATTTCAGTTTTACATCTCATCCGAAGGACAGCGCCTTTTTACAGTATAGTGTCCCCGTCATAGGACCCAAATCGACCGCAGGGTGTGCACCCCCTGCTGGCTCCACTAACACCTCTTCCAGCAGCAACCTTAGTTTTTCCCCAGGAGGTCTCCCATCCAGGTACTGACCAGGCTCACACCTGCTGAGCTTCAGTGGGTAGCCAGTTGTGAGTTGCAAAGTGATATTGCTGCTGGCTTAATGATCAAATGGACAGAAAAATAAGCATTTTCTCTTAATTACCCTATTGCTAATATTGTGAGGTTATCAATGGTGGTATATTTAAGTGAAAGTAAATAGTATTGTTGGTTTAATAATTGTGCAGAATTCGCTGCAGGGTTGTATGATTATTTTATCTGCCAGAAGCTGGAGAGTAGAATCATTGTGGGGTTTTGCCACCTGCACTATAGGACCTGGTTGTTGCCTTCTGATGTTCTTTCCTTCTAGGGAAGCACCTTTTGTTTGGGAATGAGTAGGTGAGGGCAGTTTTATTGGTTAGCAATGAAGAGAAATGGGGGTGGCATGGTGGCGCAGTGCTGTGAGGTGCATTGAACACCACTGGGGCCCTGATTTCAATTCCTGGGGTGCTGTCTGTGTGGTTTGTATGTTCTCCTTGTGTTTGTGAGGCTTTCCTGCAGGTGCTTAGGTTTCCTCCCACAGTCCAAAGACATACGGGTGGGTTAATTGGCTTCTGGGAGGATTGGACCTGGTGCAAGTGTGTGTGTGAGTGTTTGTGTTGGGCCCTGTAGCGGACTGGTGTCTCATCCAGGGTGGATCCTGCTTTGTGTCCGTTGCTTGCCAGGATAGGCTCTGGCTCCCCTGCGACTCCAAATAGGATAAAGCTGTTAGAAAACAGAAGGATGAGGAGAAGGCTTGTCCAGGGAGCTATGCCATGCAGTCCAGATCTCCCATAAGGTCCAGGTATGATAGATTGACTTTCAGCCAGAGCCCTCAGCTCTGCCTGCACAGGAAGGTGTGGGCAGACCACAAGATCTCCACAGACATCCTTGATTTTTCCCCACTCTTTTCTCCAGACTGGCAATATCTTACCAGAGACAAGAATGAGACTCATTTTTACAAGCTGCAGATAGATACTTACTAGATAGATACTTTCAATGTGTTAATAACGCTTCTGCCTGTACAGATTGAATGAAGATAAAGTAGTATAAAGGATGTGTATAATAACTTGTCTTAGTTTAACTTACACAGCTTATGTCACCTTAAACCCGAAACAGGTCAAACCACTATGTAAAGGCAGTTTGTCCCCCCCTCTATTTTCAGTAGTATGGCAAAGAACAAATTATACTGTCAAAACGCAGGAGAAGAATAACTATAGGAAAAATAAGATATTAAAAAATGATTCTATATTGGAACTGTGGTTCTCAGTCTCCTTTGTCTCTCTGGTTCTTATTTCCAGCTATGGCGGAATCACAGGTTGTTTTCCAATTTCTGTTTGAGGTTTATCGTTAAATTTCCTTTCAGCTTTTAAAAAGTTAAATGGAATTCCCCATTGATATCAGGCCTGTACTAATTATTGAGTTTCATGGTTGCCTTTATGTGGGTGCGCCAATTGAAGTGTGACCAGGAGTTTAGCAGGAAAAGCACTTGCTTTGTGTGTCTAAACCAGCAGATGTAGAAGTCCTTTAGTACCAGGGATGAGAACCATGTGGATTAGAGAATGATTTGCTTCTGTGCCCCTGAACCTCAAGGTTTTTTTCATAACTGCTTTCTGTCGACAGGTACTGGGACTGTATTTTGTGTCTCTGCCGGGCACAAGGCACAGTAGGCGAGCTTGGGGCTGTGGTGATGCAACAAGCTGATGTTTCTGCATTGCGCCTGCTGGAGGCGCTGTTGCTCTCTCTTCCACAAGCTCTGCTGCAGACCTACCTGCTGATGACCACCGATGTGGGCTTGTTGTCCCCAGGCAAGTATTCTGGAGAGGGTTTTTTCTGTACTGCAGTTGAAGAACACATTTCTGTTGGTATGTTGGGTATATTCTGCAGCTGCAAAGGCAAATTAGACTTTCGCATTGCAGTATTATGAGTGGTAGCAGCAGTAGTATTTGTGTTAAAAGTGTTAGATTTATAAGCATTATTATGCATTACACAAAGGGTACGAAGCGTTCTCCAGAATATGTGGAATAATTTTTACACAAGACTCGTAACAATTAGACATGGGGTAGGAATGAAAGATCAGCACCAAAGACTGTCTTACAAACTGTAGTTTGACAGTACTCCCCAATTTGTTCTTACCTCTCAGATTCAGATTCCCAGACCAGTAGATCAGGGCAAAAGGTAAAGCAGGTGCAGTAAAAGACTGATAAAAAATTATCAACAAGAATTATCAGCCTTAAAATATTTGAGTTTCCTCAAGAAAAATAGATGCTATTGCCCTTTTTTGAATAGACGTTTTCCTCAAAATGAACTTGCAGTCTAGAGCCATCTGTAACTACTTATATTCATCTACCACTTCCACTGATATGCCCCTGATGCGGGTTTGAGTAGGGAACTGAGGATTATTCCTCAAATCGATTGCCATGTCTTTGGTCTTAGAAACATTTAACTTCAAATAGTTCTGTTCACGCCAAGGCATCTACAACGGGCACATCTACAACTCGGTTCATCAACAATAACAGAGTCGTCTGTATATTTAATTATGTGTCTTGAGTAAGGGAGACAAAACTCATCCCTGGGGGAAACCTGTGGACGAATACAGCTTGTTAGACACAAAGATCACTGAGTGATCGGTTGCTTTATAGGATCTCTCCTCTGTTTTCCTATAGTGGCTCTGTGTTGTGCTCTCTGCCTGCTGTCCTTGTCCTGGGCGCTGGTCCTGTACAGCAGGGCATGCTGCCTTATTCGACCTGGGCACCTGACCATGCCACCAGCTGCTCTGCTATGCCAGCTTCTCTGGAGGGTGGGCATGCTGGGTGCCAGGATCTCCAGTCTCATGTTCTTTGCAAGGGTCTTCCACTGGTGGGTCTATGGAGTTGCAGGTAAGTAACGGATGGGGCTGCAACACGTTTAGCACCTCATAAGCACAGCATGGTGTGCCTTACTCATGTTGTATATTACGAAATGGATGATTTAAAGACCATATTAGAAATTGAATCTTGTTTTGCAAATACTTCTCTGTCCTGTATTTCTTATGTTTTTCACCTTACATAAACACTTATAGAGGCTCAGGGAGAGTGAAGTGAGATTTATGTCATGAAAAGATAAAAAGGGAAAAGTAGAGAATGTCACCTTTTTGTTTTTGGATATTTATGTGAATACTTGCTAAGCCATGTTAAAACAAAAGTATTTTAGTGTTCATT